AAGGAACTTCTGCGAAATGAAGATTGAAAAATAAAAAAACCCTATGGAAAAAATATAGTTACTTGTAGCAGAATTTTATAAAATGAGAAATTAAATTATTGAAAGGCAGCAGCTAGCACCATCACGGCAGGCTGCGGCTGGTGATTAAAGTGACTTTCTAGCTGGAAAGCACTTCTTGCTCTCATGTGGGAGTGACAGTCACAAGTTTTTACATGATGAAACAGTCTTCGTGCAAGGTCTAATTTTGTGAGGTAAGATACTGCAAAAATAGAGGGTTGTGACAACGGAGCTCAATTAGTTTTGTAAGTTTGTACTTAAGTTGTTTCAAAAGAAATATGATTAAATGATTAAATTGTGTAGATGCTGAGCGAAATAATGCAAGGATAAATAGTGAAGGAGAATTGTTAATATACACCTGTTTGGTAAAAGGGGTATAATTAATATAATTTGGATTTTATTACATCACTACGAGGACTGTTACTCATCGTACAGAACAGAGGGCTGTGCACTGGGCAGTGGTTATTCGAAAAGGGAGGTCGCCGGGTATTTAAACGCTGGTTCCCCGTACTGCCACTAAAAAGGTGAAGCAATTCACGGAGGGAGGAACAGGAGTATATAATGAGAGTGGGATTACTTCCTTATGAAACGAATCAGTAAGCCCATGACTGAACTGTTGTCGTCACCTTTTTGGTGTCTCTTGGAATCAGTGCTGAAAAGGGTTTCGGAAGCAGTTGAAGTTCATTAGATGGAGACGTGAGAAGCGTGACACATTCAGTTGGTCAGAGAGAAGGTAATTTTCCTGTCTGCTATCAGTGGAGGGCTAGAAAAGTTTCAGTTCCATACACATGAAACATGAAAAATTGAAACTTGAATCTTGGTTTGCCAAGGAATTGCTTACCAACTTCTGTGTTAATCCCTCATCTGTTGAGATCTCATGTAGGAGAAGACAGCCCGTCTTTAGGAGATGCACAAAGGGATGCCCTCTGCTTACGCACAGGTCGGGTTAGACTGGCACAACAATGGCTTCTGTCCTGGAGTCCTAAGGATAAATGAGCCAAAGAAAAGGAATTTAATGACTTAATTTAAGCATCTTTTCTCTCCCTTTACCCGTTCCGTCCCAGCAAGTGACTTCCCACCAGTTACCTGCAAACACAGCTACAGTGGGGGATGGCAGAGCTGCTCCAGCCTGACCCTTCGGTACGATCCAGGGCAGGCAGGGTGCAGGCAGGGAGGCAGCACGTGGGCAGGATCCCCGTCCCTCTGCCTGCCCCTGCCTGAGCCCACCTTACGCAACTTTCCATTTGCCCATTTCCATTTCGACTGGGTTTTCTCACACTAGCCAAACCAGGTTGAAGACTAGGATGTTTATACACAGCCTTATTTATACTTTTATTTTTGTGCATACAGAAAATCATTTGTATGTGAGTGCATGCATTTGATTTTTCTTTTTTTAATTGTTAGTAGTACCTTTTAGTGTTTGGGGTGGTTTTGTGTGCTTTTATAAGTTCAGAGAAATGCCGCTGATAAAACAAAAAGCTAATTGAAGAAAGGAGCCATGTACAGAAATTTCCTCCTGCTTCTGAAGTTCAGCGGTAGGAGGACTAATAAACCCACTGTAGTTCTGTGGAGATCCTGCCTGTTAAGTGTGTTGTCAAAAATACACTTGAGAAAGCCTGCCGTGTCAATATTCAGAGTGGTTGAATTGAAGCAATGAGTGTTTTGGCTCTGCACACAGGAGCTGTTCCTCTTTTTAACACGTGCAGATCTTCAGAACTGGAGGACAAGTGAAGGAAATGGCTTGTGTTTCGCGAAGATAGATGATGTAACACGTTCTTTCCCCAGGGCAGAAAATACTATATATGTTAAATTGATGTGTTGGGGCGATGGGTTGTTGTAGCCAATTCCCCATCTTTGCTTCCCAGAGCCATCTCTGGAAAAGGCTGAAATGCGCTGCGGGGTAAAGCCTGCCAGAGTACAGATCCGTTATCAGGCAGTTTGAGGTTGTCTTAGCTTTCAGCATTTATTTTGAATAAATTTCGGGGGTGGGACTGAGCATGGCGGGAGGGGAAGGAAGGACGAGCTTTGCCTCTATAAACGGCCGTACAAGCATCTCGTCGCGCGTCCTTCGCAGCCGTGTCTTGAGGACGTCGTTCCGCAGCAGCGCGCACCGAAACCTGCGCCGTGTTTGCTGGCTTTCCCGTCAAATAGCAGCTCCTCCGCCGGTGGCTTCTTCGTGTCATACCGGCGTGTTGCTGAGCTGATCGGAGGGTGCTGCGTGGTGATGTGCTTTGTCGCTCCGGGCGCCACTTGGGTGGAAGATGACGGTGTTGGTTGTACTGATTCACCGGAGATGTGGAGGGAGGGGGAACGCTGTTCTCGGCTAATGCGTTGCATCAATAGAGTTCTACTGAATTAACAACCCCTTTTTTAATGCTGAAATATTTCAGACTGAACGTGGGAGTAGCTTTGTGAAGTGTTGCAAGGAATACTAAAGCAAACTGAATTTTCCTATCGTAAGAAGGATTTAATAACAAACAAAGCGTTAGGTAGGCAGTGTTAGTAATGTTCTGTAAAGATGAAAGGTTTTACACCTCCTAATTTTCCAAAACTTCCCCAAACCAGCCTTTTTCCCATAATTGCTCTCTGGAGACCCTGACCTTGCATTCAGTGCTAGGAGTAGCCCTGCCGACATCTCACTGAAGGTCTGTTGTGATTCTGCAGGATCTCAACTGATCCGTTTTGAGTAAGGCTCCTTGGTCAGCGGACGTGGGGCGGCTGGGGAGCACGAGGAGGTAACAGAGACTATTTTTCATGCTCTTGGTGCCAACAACCAGCCATTTTAGTCGACTTCAAACCCCGTGGGACGCAGCAGCTGTGGGCTGGTGGGTTTGTCATGGATGGGAAGGACGAGGGGTGGAGCGGGGTTGAGGACCTGCAGCACACTGCGGTTCCAGGTTGGGGCGAGGGTGGGTTCTGCTTTCCCAAACCCATGTTTGATTACTGGCGTAGCGTAGCCTTTTCCCTTTTTCCTCGGCGTGGAGCTCAAACTGGAGATAATTTTCGTGTATGCAACAGATTGACGAAATAATTATGCGGTGCAGCACATAAGACATAAAAAGTGCCTTTGAAAAAAATGCAAAAAAAAACCCAAACCCCAAAGAAAATACATTTGTTTAGGGGAGAAAATAGAGGAATAATAGGAGTGGTGAAATAATCCTGTTGCTTAAGGTAGCTGTTAAAAATAGGAGTAGTAAGCTTAATACTCTTGATTTTACCACAATAAACATATAATTGTAAGCTGATTGTGGTGAATTCCTCAAATGACAACCCCCATCAATATAAGTTTTAAAGCAACTGCCCTGCATCTGGAAGCCAGCAGCAGCTCGGGATTTTATTAAGCGGCACTGCCAAATAAAATCCAAGCACCACTGCAAGCGATACAAAAATAAAGATTGGCTCTAGCGTCACATGGCAGATAGGCAGGCGAGTGCCCCCCGGAGCTTGGAGAGGCTGTGGGAACGCCGCAGCTTTCCCAGCAGCTCTGCAGCCGGAGGGTGAAATGGTCGATAGAGATGCCTGCATCAGCTGTAGAGGTGTTCAGGAGCTGAACTCGCCAGTGGAATGAACAGAGAAGCTGCAAATTTGCTAACTTAGTTCTTAGTGTGTCGAACTTTGTTCTCTCGGAAAGGTACTAGACAACGTACTGTCTGTGTTACACGTTATGGACAGAAAAGGGTTTGCAGAATACGCTTTTCTGTCTGTAAAAGGGTATGAAAGAGTGACCCTGTGATAACACACAGAATCCTGCCCCCTTCCAAGGGCTGCGACTTGACATCGCGACTCCCAGCTTTCATCCTGCGGCCGGCGGCGAGTGCAGTTGGTGGCTGGGCCAGTCATGTGGCTGGCTGCAGCTGGGTGACGAGTGTCCGCCGGCGGGAGGGGGTGATGCCCAGCTGACCCAAATACAGACCCAGCAGCCGTCCCCGGAGCCAGCGCTCGGCTGCAGCATCACCCGGGACAACAGCCTGGTGCCATGACATGACGAGCGCTTTCCAGTGCTGCGAGCTGATGACCTCCACGCTTTTTGGAGCACGTCCGTGCCCTTCCTTGCTGAGTGGGAGGTTTCCCATACAGCGGCGATAAAATTAACTCATTTGAATTCAGAAAGCAGTGTGATTAATAGCTCCTTCTTAGTCTTTGTGCCTAGAAATAACTTAGAACATCATAACGCGAAGTTTCAAGGAAGTAAAATAAGTGATATACTAAATGAAGTTCAGATCTTTTATGTTTTTGAACAGGTTTTTGATACAGCTCAGCTTGATACAACATGGCATTTACCAGCATGGCCTTTAATATTGGATCTGCTTTCCAATTATGCTTCAATTCATACAACAGTTGCAGAGAGCGAGTGTGGGCGTACGTGCGAGAGAGATTGATTTTGTTCTTTAAAAATGTGAAGTCTGTACTAACTATGAAAACCCGTCAGAATTTCGAGCACTTAAACGCCATTCCTTTTCTCAATGTGTTACCAGCATTAAGCAATCTTCACGACATCTCCTTGACAAATGGAGAGTGCAAGAAGAGGAATACATGCTGATTTTTCAGAAGTAGAATATTAGCACAGATACCACTGAAAACCAGGCTGCAAATCCTTTCCAGAAGTAAAGAGTTAATGTCTGAGCTCCAATTACAACTTGGAAGCGACTACATAAGGTCTTAGCTCTATTGTTCAGAAGTACATCAGTGAAAATGGAATAAAGTACACATCAGTCCTGGCGGTTGCTGTCTTAGTCTCTTGCATCTGGGACAGCAGATGTTGGGCAATCCCAATTGCCACCACTTCACGCCGAGCATCTTGCTGTTCCCAGCCACTGCCTTTTGGTACTCCCAAGCTCTGATACTGCTTTGATAGTTACTGTATTTTGTATCTGAGAAGTCGAAAGGACTGGAGTTTTTTGTCTTTCTGTGGTTCTGACTGTTCATTTCTTTTTCTCCTGTAGGTTTGAAGACCTACCTGATCTCTGGTCAGAAGGTGAAGGAGCCCCACTGCAGCTGTTCGCAAGCGTTGCTTCCTGGCCTGGAGCCCGGAGATGGAGCCAGGATACAGGGAGCATCATCAGCCGAGAACGCCGTGGACTTGACAAAGACTCTCAAACATGCAGAGAAGCCGAAGGTGAGTTCATCTTTCAAAGCCAAGCAGCATAAATCTCAAACTCCACAAACCTGAGAGAGATGTGTGGATGAGGAAACCTTACAAGTTTGTTTATGCACTGCTTTTATATATTTGTATGTATATGTGCATATACCTGTGTGTATATGTACACAGAGTGACGAAATGTAGTTTGAGGGACAAAAGAATGTACAAAGTAAAATGCCTTGCCAATTGACAAGCTAAAGTTCATCTAAAATAAGGTGAACGCTTTTTAAAAGATGGTTTGAAATAACATTTTTAATATTTCAGCACTGAGAGGTCAATACTGCTTTTTCAATGGTATCGATTTTATGGGGGAATAAAGAATATGCTTGAAGCAGCTACTGTAACTTCTGTGATTTTCTGCTTTCGCTGCACCCTGCTTCTGCTGTTCCTCTGTCACGCATGTCACCTATCTGTGAACCTTTTCTTATCAGTATATAACACACATCTCTGCAAACAGGGAACGGAATTGCTTGCATGGTGGGAGAAGATGCTCCGGTAGGCTATGAGGTTGTGTTTCATCTGCTTGCTCTAGAAACCTGTATGTAGAACTGAGGGCAATGATTTGTATGGATTCAGCTTAGAGAAATGATGACATTTTGTTATGTTCACGCCTCTCACAAGATCTCTTGACAAGGAAATCTGTGAAACAATGTGTATTACTTCAAGGCTTTGCTGTTACTCTCCATCTTGCAGCTCAGAACAGATTGCCCAAACAGCACATGTCTATTCTCTGTTCTCGTTCGTGCCGAGTTCCTTGCCCCAGGTTGCCGGAGCTGGGCATGAATGCCAGACCCACAGGTGGTCCTCTCCCTGCAGGTCACTCTCCTCAGACTTCAGTGTATTGAGTCCTGAAAGGATCTCTTCAACACAGGTTTGAGATGGAACTGGCAGAGTTGATGGGGGGTGCGTTCATGCTACTCCATTTTTGCTGCTTGTTTGCTCGTCATCTGGATGAGGAGAGCAAGAGTAGGGCACCTTTACCCTGTGCCAGGTTTTAAGTTTTAGAGTGAAAACACTGGATTGTAAGTGAGGTGAGCTGGAAGGCTGGCCCAGAGATCCAGTCCAAAGTTAAGTGAGCTCCTTACAGAGCGAGCCAGGACTGTTTAACTACAGAAGGGAGCGGTAGCCATCTTTATGCTTCCCCAAAATACACACTGCCTGTGGTTTGACTGCATCCAAGTTGCTGGTGATAGTTTTATATTCCTTCTTCTGTGTAAGAAGGAACATATTTGGCGTCCCTCAGGCACCAGCTTTCCAGCCGTCTCTTGTCTTCCAATGAAGATACTAGCAAATAAGGTAGGAAAGTGCATCTTGGAGCAGTGCGTGTACACATCAGGCTGTCTGTGCTGCCCTGGTACAGACGTGACAGTACGGGGTAGAAAGCTCTCTGCTTCAGGCGGTGAAGGAAGAACAACGTACCAAGTGGAGCAGAATTACGGAGCTGCCTGTCCTTGGAGCAGGGGTTAAAGCAGTAAAACTGAGGGTGCTGTTCTGAGAGAAAGGAGGGTGTCTTGTTAACATCAGACAGCAAGGTAAGCTGTAACTGGAGCACTGTGGAGCTACAGGACTGACCTGACTGTAGCTAGGATTTGATAAAATTTGTTCTGATTAAATGGTGGAACTTGTTCAAACAATCCAAGTCCAAAACCAGCTCTGTTGTTCAGGATCAGCTATGGTATGTGTTCTTTGATGCAGATGCAGCACTGTTCCTGAACAGCTCGTATGCAATGTGGAGGCATGCTGCTGGCCCACCGAGTTCTGTTCGCTGCCTAGTCCCCGATTTTCTGCTCTGGGACCATCTTGGCTGGGTGTTAATTGCTCTCTGAATGCTGTCGGCACAGCGCTGAAGTGCAAACGTGGCTGTCCGAGTAAGTGAAGGAGAAGCTAAAAGCAGCTGCTTCAGAAGAGCATCTAGGACAAACGCCAGCTCGGTTTCAGCCTTGGATACCTTATCTGCCGTTGTGCTAAAGCTACTGCATCGAGTTGTGCTTATGGGAACCTGGTTTTATTCATCACCGTGAGCACTGGAGGCCTGGCCAGTGATCGCCTAAACAGCTTTTAAAACCAGCGTGCCTGACTTGCCCCAAATACACTGATGCTGGAGCGAGTTTTGAGTGACCCCAGACTCAGCTTTCCCCGTGGTCTGATAGGCATCCGTGTAACGCGTACCACAGAACGTGTCGGAATGCCTGCAGCATAGTGATGAAGCAGTCGTGTGAATGCTGAGCACTTGCTTAAAAATGTGTCCTGTGACCACGGTTGCAGCCCAGGAGAGCCACGCGCACGTGCTTCTCAGCATGGCTAGGTGCAGGTATGCCAGACTCCACAGCATGCTTTCCAGCATAGATGTGCACCAGCCTTCTCGGCTGGGTAAGCTGTTAGAGTGATTGTGGACCGAGAAGGCTGTGTCAGGCTTTCAAGGAATATTTCGTTGGCCAGCCGTGCTAGAGCAGATCTTACAGTGTTAAAAAAATAAAGATATGTATATTAAAAATTCCCCACAAAGAATAGCCATGCGGTTTAATCACAGATCATGCACAATTTTTGAGAAGGAGTGGGTTTCTTTTTTACAGTGCTGTGTTTCTTTTTTTTTTTTTTTTTTAAAGCCTGCAGCTTGCTCATAGGGTCTGGAGATAATAATTTGCAAAAGAATCATGACTTACTTGCCAACTGTTTTAAATACAAAGCTGTAAACAGTGTCAGTGTAGGAGGAGATGACTCCAGCTCTGCAAAAGAGACTAAGTAGGAGGGGCAAAATTCCAGGCAAGTTGAAGTATTTTTCTTTGAAAGGGAATAAGTCGCCATACTGGATGCAAAGGATGACTTTCACATTTTGGGCTTGAACGGATGTTGTAATGGACAAGATCTGTTACGGAAGGTCAGGAAGGAGAACGCAACAGCAATTGATCCACGAAAGGCATTGTATTTCCTCCTCTCCTGCAGTGTATCTCTAGTTCATTTAATTGCAAACCTTACTGCAGTATGGGTATCGATAAAATGCATGTACATAATTAAAATTGTGAAGATGGAGGCTAAAAACTATAAGTAAATCTCTGATAGCAGCTAATCTTTTGAATGAAAATACTGTGAGATGCTCAAGGAGTTTTGGTACCGGTTTATCTTCCCTGTCATATTTTACAAAACCCCTTATTTGACAGGCAATCATAAGCGGTTGTAAAAATGTAGTAATCATCCCTTGGTATGAAAACAGAAAGTACTTTTGCTTGTCTTGGTGTTTGCTGAAAGTGCATTAATGTATTATTCATCGCGATGAGGTCAGATACACACTGGGCTTGTGTGAATGTCCTCGGTAGAAAATGGAGTTAATGATGTTGAGTGAGCGTGTGGGGTATGTCAGGTGCACTTGCGCCTCTTCTCAAAAGGTCGGGCTGCTTTTGTGAGATTTTTGGCTCCTGGTTTAACCCCAGGAGCTAGGCGTTTGAGGTGGTCTTGCTGATTTATTAGGAAGATCAAACAGGGAGTAGTTTCTTTATTTTTCGTTGCAGGGATTTGTTTTTTATTACCATTAACTGACTTCTTCCATGCTTAAATCTACTAAAGCACGCTCTGGGAGCACAGAACGCTTGTTAGCCCATTGTCATACTCATTTTTAAAGCTGTCTAATATTGCCATCCACAAAGTGGCCAAGGCATTCATGATATTTAGTCCTAGATTATTTTTAAACAAAACCGTTTAAGAATCAACTTCACAGTTTCTTCAGGTGGGCTGGTATTTGTTCAGACTGTCCAGGTTCAGAACTGGATGTAACTTGCTCATCTGATGCCAGAATAGGAAACTCGTAGTAATTTCAGTGCCCCAGCGTGGACCCTGCTCCTGAGGAGCAGCGGATACGGTGGGTTGTTGTCGGCTAAGAAGCCTCAGAGTCCTTGTGAAGCGTGTGAGAGGCATTGATTCAGTGGATCAGCAGTCACAGGAAGGGTGGGCTGGGAGAAATTACTCCAAGATGCCACAGTATTCAGTTTGAGGTATGGCACTAAAGAGAGAAAAGGGGCTTTGGGTGAACAGTCAGCTCTGAAAACACTTACACATTGCTGTCTGAAATAGGGAGTGAACCCGGAGGCAGAAGTTGTTGTGGTTTGCACCAAGGGAATGATAGACTACAGGGGCTTGAACGCATCCCTCCTGAGTCCAGAATAAGCAGATACAATGGACATTGGGTGTTGAGTTTGGGACAAAAGGCTCAAGTTGCTTGTTGGAAGATTGGTCAAGATGTTTGGTGGATCGCCTACCGCCGTTGAGTAGAGTGTGCCCCATTTAGTGTGCCGCTCCCCATGACTGGTGTCTCTGTACCTGGTAGTAGACTGCTGGGCGAAGCTGGTGGCAGCAAACCGTCTCCAGAGCAGAGGAACTGCCAGCAGGGACCAGGCTGAGGGTCCTGCTGGTGCAGCATCCTGCCTGCACCTGGCCAGGACTGGAGAAAAGCCCGAAGAACGCGGAATTAGCCCTGTGTCTGTATCCCAGTTAAGATTATCACGTTTTAACTCCACGGGGTTAGGTTGTTTCAAAAGCTGAAGTGTTACGCTTTAGGTTGCTTCCGAAACGCATAACCTGCAGCTATTACAAGGCCTGATGCTTTTGCATTCCTCGTTTCCGGTGACGTTTGCTGGGTGTCTGGCGTCAGCGGTGTAGATGGCCTAAGCTCCTCCATGCTGTCTTAGAGCACTCTATGAAAAACTATTTCCCTTGATTAGTTTCAGATTTGTTGCTTTCCATTTCCCTGTGGTGTTCATCATGCACTGTGATGTTTTGTGACCCCCCCCTTTTTTTTTGTTTTAGTTTTGCTGCATTTTGTGCGAAGTCTTCACTCATCATGCCATTCACATCCTTCACATCCTTTTGCGGGCAGTTTTTAAACAAGAAAATGGCACTTCTCTCGCTGAAGAGTATTCCCTTCTTCTTGGGGAGGTCCTTTGCCAGCACGCACTGATTACAGTGTATCGTGGTCTTACACTAGTAAAGCTTTCCTGGATGAGATTTAGCCTCAGGAAACAGAAAATCTGTGATTTATTTTTGCGATGGTGCATTCTGTTCCAGTCAGATTTTGCTCCCTGCTTCCCAGCCTGCAGCTTTGTTTATCTTTTAGCCGTGCCGCAAGTATACAAGTGGACCAAATTATAAATTGCATAATACTACGAGGACACCAGAATGTTCCTGGCTAAAATTTTTTTGTCTCATTGCAGCCTTGCCCTTCATGTAGTACCACTCTTGCTCCCCACTGTGATGTCAGCATAGACGAAGGAGCTATCCAAAATGGTTGTCAGGATGAGCATAAAAACAGTACGAAGGTAATTTAATTATTTGTCATATCCCTTCTTTTCCCGTATTTCTCTGCTTCAGTTAGCTTTCCCATTTTTGTATTGCACTTCCTTTATCCAACCTCTTAAGCAGCAGAACCAGTTTTGCTTTTGAGCAATTGTGTGGAGTTGTGAGCCCCTCCACATTTTCAAAATCATTAGTACTTTTATGAGCCCAGTTTGATACTGAGAAGAACCTGGAAGTTGGATTTTTCAAATGATTCTGAGGCTACCCGAAGAAAGAAGCACAAACAACACATCCACGTTCTCCACCCCTTACACCACTTGGCTCTGTGTCACCTAGCCACAAGTTACACCTGTGTCTTGCCAGTGTCTTCTGTATCATAGCTCTGGGCTAAGTCAGTTTGCATCCTTTTTCTGACCGACAGCGTCTCACATATTCAGCATGCTGCTGCCAAGATTGCCTGCCTTGCCTGTTGCTTAGGGACTCTTACTGAAGCCACCTACTTCCTCTACAATACCAGATGTTGCCTATTTCTCATCTTGTCTGTGGCCTTCGTAGCTTCTCTGCTCCACCTGTTGCCTCTTGCTCCTTCCTGAATATTAAGCTCCTGCCTAAATGCAGACTGGCTACCAGTGCTCATCACCTGATTGGTTTATCTTAAAATAAGTTTAATGCTTTCCCTCCTTGGGGAGAATCATTTCATAGAATCAGAATCATAGAATGGTTTGGGTTGGAAGGGACCTTAAAGCTTGTCTAGTTCCAACCCCCCTGCCATGGGCAGGGACACCTTCCACTAGACCAGGTTGCTCCAAGCGTCATCCAGCCTGGCCTTGGACACTTCCAGGGATGGGGCATCCACAGCTTCTCTGGGCATCTCTTCTCTTCTGTGTTCCAGTGCTTCACCACCCTCTCCGGGACGAACTTCTTTCAGATGTCCAATCTAAACCTCCCCACTTACAATTTAAACCCATTACCCCTTGTCCTGTCACTACAGGCCCTTGTAAAAAGTCCCCCCCAACTTCCTTGTAGCCCCCTTCAGGTACTGGAAGGTGCTGTAAGGTCTCCCCGGAGCCTTCTCTTCTCCAGGCTGAACAAGCCCAATTCTCTCAGCCTTTCATCATAAGAGAGGTGCTCCAGCCCTCTGAGAATCTTCGTGGCCTCCTCTGGACTCACTCCAACGAGTATAAACACGTTCAGAGATAGCTAAGTTGGCTTTTTTTCTTCACCTCTGTCTTTACAACAACTCTTGCACACAGAGCTAATGGGACTACTTGCCAGCATTTATTCTGCTGATGAGCTCCTACATTTATCTGTGTTTGTCCCTCTGCTTCTGCCTGTATTTGACCTGTTGTCTCCTATGCTTCAATTGTAAGCTCAGAAGCAGGGGCTGCCTTACAGGACTGGACTGAAATGGTTTGTACCGCGTTCTGTGCCAGGGTTCCTAGGAAACAGCCTAAGAAAAAAAAAAAACCAAACCGATCCCTTCTGCTCTGAGGGAGGTCGAGCAGAGGGGCCAGCAGGTACTGGTCTCGGAACAGCATGAGATCTTTAAGACCGAATACACTGTGGGAGATGTGCCTGGGCTGCCAAGATGGTATGCGTGAGATGCTTCTTCCCCAGGCTGCCTCTGCCCACGTGCCAGGGATCTCCAGGAACCGGCTGCAAACAGAGATTTTCCTTAGTACCAACTGCCTCGCGTCACATGTTGTCTTTATCAGAATTATCCTGTAAGTTCCTCCTCCTCCAGCAGTATGAGCTTCATGTGTGTTAATCAGCGAGTCCTCCAACCTTGCTTAAGAGGTCTGCAGAGCACTGAATCGCATGTCTGTCGTTTCACTGGAAGAAGCGTGCTAGTGGAGACCGAATCGCCCGTCCTTCTTTGATTTGATTTAGGTATTGCTAAGTCAAAAATGGTGCCCATCAAGTGGCTACCAGTAACTCTGGGATACCTCTTTAACTGAAGAACAGCTACACGCACACAGTTGCTGTGGCATTTGATTTCCAAATCTTCTCCGCAGCCTCAGCTTTCTCAGGAAGAAGAGCCATGAGCTCATCTCCGGAGTCTGTTCCCTTCCCATGCCATGTCGCTGCGCCTGGCCCTGCAGCACTCATGTCCCCTGTCTTCAGGGGGATGTTAATGATGTTAACCACATCCTTGGACCTTTGTGGGTCCCAACGGCCTCTGGAGCCTCCCTGTCTCTTGATGAAGGAAACTGTCATGTGGTACATCGAATCTCCGAGTGCTCAATAAAACCTGTACAGCCACCAGAAACCACAGTAACGTTGGAGCTAACAGTATTTTAATAAATAGGGATTTTCTCCTTACACACAAGCAGTTTCACTCTAATCCCCCCCGTTAAGATTAAGAGTGGAGACAGCACAGGAAAACCTTGAGCTGACTGAAGGGAAGAATTTTCTTAGGGATTTGAGCCTTTGCCAAGGAGTTAAAGAGAAAAGGCCAAGAGAAGTCCATGCTGACCTTCTCTGAAAGAGCAGAAATTTTCGCTGCATTCTTCCAATCGACTTGAGGAACAGGCAGGGAAAGCACACAGTGCACAGGAGCCTGTAATCTTTCTTCTGAGCTGCTCATAGCAAAAACTCTGTTCACTGGGTTGCTGCTTTTCGAGTAACGACGTCTGCTGCAGGGGTGAGGAAAAGAGGAAAGATTCCTTACTATGGTGCTAACTATGACCTTCCTTTATTTTTGGCCTCATGCTGTTGTGGGAAGTGCCCTGAGCAATTATAATCTTTACCGCAAATTAAAAACCAACCCCAGACGATGAAGACTTCTAGCAGCCTGTTGGACAGTTCTCTGTGGTTTGCCTCTGGTAGCACTCCTCATCCCAAAACCAGGCACTGCAGCACCTTGTGCCCTGTAGCCGTGTTCCCTGGGGGCAGGCTGGGTAAGCTGTTGGGGTTGCAGGAGGGCTTGCTCTGATGCTGCTGGGTCTTTTCCCTCACAAAAGAAACTGGTGACCTTCTGTGTGAGAAGTTCTGTGCCTCTGGCTTACGGGGAGGTGCAAGCCTCCAACTTACTGGCACGCACCTCGCCCGACCCGGGACTTGGTCAGTCTTTGCTGAGCTATGTGTTGCTGCAGTCACCTTTCTCTGCTGTGGAGTATGTTCTTTAGCAAAACATTGGCAGCACACCAGGGTAACGACTGAATTTCCTCTCCTGCTTCGTCAACTGCTGTCACTGGGCTGTGAACACCTGCAAGCTGCCAAAGCGACTGTCGTGAGTGGTAGACGGGACTAGACCGGGGATCCTTCCATCTCCTGGTTCCCAGCACGTGGTTCTGGGGCTCACACCTCCAACAGGGCAAGCCCGCAGGGTGGGAACCCTGCATCCCTCCTGGGCAGCAGGAAGGGGAAGCACAGTGCACCTTCCTCTTGCTTTTCCTGTAGCTCCAGGGAACCGTTCCATCACACCTTGTTAAGACTTGAGCTCTTGAGGTCTTGGCAGCAATAGGGAGCCCAGGCCCCGTGCTCCCTGACTCTTCCCTGCACACAGTGATGTTCTGCTGCTGCTCCATTAGTCTTGTCTCTTCACTGGTTGTGTCCACACCTTCAGTCATACCTGCCTATATTCACATGCCTCGTCTGCTTTACAGGATAGATGCACAAGGAGATTGAATTTATCTTGCATGGGCAGACAGAAACTTAACTTTAAGTTGATTTTACAATCTAAGTACCAGATTTCAGTGCATGGTTGGGGTGGTGGTGATATTTCTGGTGTTTATTTATGGTCACCGCAGTGGCATCCAAGAATAGTCTTCTGGAGGAGCTTGTCACTGCTGTACAGGCAGAAAATGCAGAAACTTCTGTCATGAGTGGGTTTCAGGATGAGGATAAATGATACGTGATAAAGGATAAGACAGGGAGGGGAGGAGATGAACATTCAACTATGCCAAGTTTGGTATATGTTTGCATTTGAAAACGATCCTGACTAACTGCAGCTCATTTTCATTCTAACCATACTCGGCTGTCTAATTTATTTGGAAGTGCTTCAGTGCATATTGGTGTAGGTCAAAGAAAATATAAAAAGAAGGAACCTCAGGTTCCATGAAAATAGAAAAATTTTTGGTTAAAAGTAATTTGTGTTCTCAAATAAATGAAAGAAGCATTGATCCTACTGTGTACTGCAAGCTGGTATCAAAATTTAAAAATGTGGTACTAATTAGTACAAAGGCAGAAGAAAACCAGAAAGAAGAAATATTTCTTAGTCACTGAAGAAAGCACAGTTTAATTTGCAGGACACATTTTTTTGTGGGTTGATGAGACGTAGAAAAGGGCTGTTTCCGCAGGTAGGAGACAGGAAGCTGTCTTTGGGAAAGCAGCAGGGCTGTAGCGGTCAGCGGAAGGATCAGCAAGGCCTGGCAGAGTGAGTTGTCTCGTGACCTGTGGAAAGCTAGCAGCATTTAAGTAGGTATTTAGAAAGCTTTGTGGAAGAATCTTGACCTTAAGGTGAGTGAATGAAGTTTGGGCTCATGGCTGGTCTTCGTTGGGTGTGTGAAAATGTACTTTTGGGACATAAAAAGCAAACGGGTGCCACCAAATAGGCATGCCCTGGCCGAAGATGCACGGCCTCAGGGCAGGTGGAGTTAGGTCTTTGACATGACCGGGTAAAAGCTCAGTGTGTTGAAGGAAACACTTCTTTCAGCTTTTGCTCTGTGAAATCTCCTGTGTCTACTGTCTCAACCACTAATGCTGCCCGTGTGTGCTCTGCTGTCTGTCATTCAGGCTCCGGGAGGACACAGTCCAAAGACTCAAAATGGACTTTTGAGCCCTCCGCAGGAAGAAAAGCTCAGCAATAGTCAAACCTCGCTTTACGAAATGTTGCAAGAGAAAGGAAGATGGGGCGGAGTGAGTCTGGATCAGTCAGCTCTCCTTCCTTTGAGGTTCAAAAACATCAGAGAGAAGACAGATGCTCACTTTGTGGATGTGATTAAAGAAGACAGGTAAGGGAAATCGAGCTGTACAGTGTGAAATCCTGTAAAGCAGAGAAGGCGGTAACAGGGGGCTCAAATCTTTAATCTTGATTCGTGCTTTTTTTGTCTAATATCAGTAGTTATTGTTAACATATAACATGTCGTATGTTTTCCAATAAAAGTCTATATTCTTTTTAAACCATAGTAGAAACTTGATGTCAGGAACGTTCTGGTCAGGAATGTGTAAAGCCAGGTTTTTCATCATGTCCATGGTGAAGAGTTAGTCTTCAGCTGATGTTTCGAAAAGGAAAACTACTCTTTAAATGACTTGTCATGAAGTTGAACTCTTACCTTTATGTTCAAAAGTCCTCTTACTGCACACATTTACCTGCCTGTGCAGTTTAAAGTGTAACGTAAAATCTGAGCTAAAAAACTCACATTTTTGTAGAGCAAAAAACCAACAACTGATAACACTAACTAATGCCTAGAAATCATACTGGGCTTGGAAGCAGAATTAATAGGAGCGAATTCTCATCGACAAACTGCCTACATACAGCCTTTTGTAAAGTACGATTCTCTGTTTCAAACAAAAATACTTATTTTGGGCAGAAGAAAATGTTCTCTAAATTTCAGTAGCGTGTGATTTTTGTAAACACAGAACCGTATTTCCCTTATGATGACACTGACTTGACTGGATCAACTAAACAGATAACCTGAGGTTGTTATTATTTATGGCTATTCTTATTTTTGCTTTGCTGCTTCCACTCAGATTAGGGGCATTTTATCTAAATATCCTTGAAACTGTATGCTTGTGTAGACTCCAGGCTGCTTGGAACAGGGACGCTCTCGGCTTAACTGAAAACATGGCTAAAGCAGGGGGAAGCAAGAGGGGGAACGCCAATCCCTCTCCAGTCTCTTCTCTGGGTATTTTTCAGGTTGCTTTTCTCCTGTGCCCAACTTCAATTAAAATTTAGGTTCCTTGTTTTTTACCTTTATGTGTATTCTGTCATTAGTGGCTGAGAATATGTGTTTAGCTGATATTTTCAAATATTAGAAGACAGAAGGATTGGGAAAGTCCAAATGTTGGCAGAAAGCAGCAAGAACAAATTGGGGTCCTGTTTGAAATGGAACTAGCATGCTGCAGATTTTAGATTAGAGAAACAGCTTAATTTATGCCTTTGGTTTTCTGAAGATACCAAGCTCAGGCTCTTGTGTTCCTGGTGCTTTTCTCCTCCTCTGCCTACAAAACAGATAAATCTTTCTGATTCAGAAAAAGGAAAAAGTAGGACCATGATCTGATATCAGCCAAAGCCTGGCTTTTTTTTGGTCTCAATTAAATATCATCATTACCATATTAAGTGGGCCATTTCTTGTTGCCAGGGAAACTTCTCTGCTGAGTTCAGTTCATGTAAACATAACTTTCCAAAAATAATCTTCTGATTAATTAGGTCTGTGCAAAATGGTTTAAGCCTACCGTTCTACATCACTCCTTTTTAACATTTCTCGAGGCAGTGTCCTATGTAAAAAGTAATGTTAAAAACATCCTTGATCCCCTACTGTAAAAAGTAACGTGTTGTTGGTCTCACCACATCTAGTATCTGTGAGGATGTTTGAATGGGAAATCAGAGTTGTCTCAGGCAGGTTGAAGGCCACACTTCCCCTTGGCCATCTTCCCTCAGACCCCACTCGCAGTAATTGTACTGGGGTTTGGCTGCTCTGGGCTTGAGCTCCTGCGAAGCCAGCAGCAGCGAGGTGTGAGCTTCCTGAGCACTGGGCAGCGATTTCCACTGTGGGGCACGATGCTGCTCTGCTATCTGCGATACAAACTAGCGTGAACAGGAAGTACCTCGCCCAGGGATGGTGATAAGGAATCAGTGTCGCAGGCTTCCCGGGCAGCTGGGAAGAGTTAAACACATCCCAGGGACGATTCAGGAGCCTGTACACCTCATTGGGAAGCTGCCTAGGGCTGGTCTGGAGGTAATGCTAGGCACTGGTGATAGTTTTCATTTCCCAGCCTCTTCCTAGAGGTTAGGTGTGTGGCTGAGACTTCCATGAGTGGCCACTGGTTCTCTTTGTGTGCTGAGATTCACCTCGGAGCTGATACCTCAGCACCATTCCAGTGGTCTTTGAAAAGAAGAATAATAAAGCCGGCGTTAGTGCGGCATGTTTGTATTACTGCATTATACAGGAATCCTTTTCACAGAAGTTACCAATTTCCATCTTCTTACAGCTTGATCGAATAGATTTGGCCAACAGCATATAGTTTGAGTTTTGAGTCTGGCTTTGTTGCAACCACTATAAAAATACCAGGCTTTGTTCATTGTAGTCTGCATGTTACTGTGTATTTTAAAAGAAAACTGTAGTGTAAGAGTACAAACTGTTTAAACTTAATTTAATTGGGGATACCCTCTAAGGATTCTCACTCTTCAGATTTTTGTCTCCAAGAATAAATGACATATTCCTTGGGTAATAAGCCTTTTGAAGTACAAGAAATGAGTACTTAGGCACTAATCAGGACAGTACTTACCAATGCTCTCTTTAGACTTACAGAGCAGAGTCCCAGGGAAACGTGAAGCTCCTCCAGAAGCTAGGCGCTGAGCAGCCCTTCATCGCCTCCTTGGTTCCATTTCCCGTTTAAATACTTTTCAAATGTGTTTCTTTCTTTCATCTCCCACTTCCCAATCTTGCTTGATTCAGGGAAAACAGAAATCCCTTGTGCTGGGAAGGCACAGCACCTCCTGGGACACAGTTTATGTACTTGACTGTAATCAGCCAACTAAACTGGGATCTTCCTCTTTGAGACAGAGTGTTGGCATGGAGCTGGACTGGTGCGGTACCACTGGCGAAGACCAGAAATGCTGCCTTCGCCCTGGTTTTACCGGGCTATGTCTTCTGTTTCATGCTGCACTGGCAGACTGGATTGTTGTTCCTACATCCTTAGCGCATCGCAGCTCCGGCACATCACCATGATGCTCTGCTGAGCTTCCCTGCAGGAAGAAAGTGAATTCAACAGTATTTAAAAAACCAAAAGCTTGCCAAATTCCTGTTACAAGATGTTCTCAGGAACATCTAAGAGAAGTGAGGGAAGGAAGACAAGAAAGAAGAGAGAAGAGGGCCACGAGTGAATGTGTTCTGTCATCCTTCAGAGCATCCTGATGTTTGTCATATATTGGCGGAGGCCAGAATGTTTAAAGGTTATAAAGTATCTGCAGTGTTCATGGTGGAAGTCTTCTGTCTTCTCAAGCTTCAGTCTAGGAACGTGCGTTTGGTTGGTCTTGCATCTCAGGAAAAAAATGCTTCCCGCGTGCCATTTTGTGCTGGGGAGCTTGTACTTCCAAAAAACCTCTTTGCTAAGTGTTTGTAGAAAAATACACAGAAAAAAACCCCAAACCACTCCCTCTGACAAGAAGAGTTCAGACACAGACTTGCTCTTTCAGCTTCTTCATCTGCTTAGAATTTGATTTCGCGCACGCCTCTGGTTTTTGCTGAGACTTACCAGCTTGGAAATAGCCCACTCTAATTGTTGCTACAGTTTTCAAGGTGGGAATAGCGGTTGGAACGCCGCTGCCCCATTTCAGATTCTACAGCAATTTTCAAAGCAGTTATTTCGCTGTAAATATCAAGCGGAATCGGTTGCTTGGAAGTGGAAGGTGGTTCGGAGCGAGAGCGCGTGTGCTGAAGCCGCAGGGGAGGACTGCGTGGAAGAGGGTGACGGGCTGTCGTAGCAGTAAACGCCATAAGCTGGCGTGACCTTGCTCTGCGACCCTGGGGCACAAAGCACTCCATGCTCTGTCAGTCGAGTCCTTTCAGCTCCTCGACATCTCCCAGAGGAAGAAAGCGTTTGCAGATCAGGTGCCATAGGTGTCGTGTGGAAGCTGCGTTCATAAACCTCTTACAACTGATGGAAACCCCAAAACCTGTTCTGTTTTTTGCTCCAGTGGGTGGGGAATAGAAACAACATTTTAATGATGGAGGCATCTTTTGTGTTTGGGTTTTTTCTGCGCCTGACACTGGAAGAGAAGGTGAAGGAGTGCATAAATGCCCTCTGGAAGACGCTGCTGCCTGGTTCCTTAGTCCTAGTGAGCTAGCTTCGTTACTTGTCAGCCCCTTTGTTGACGATTCTGGTGACTTCAAATCCTCTGTTTCAGAAGTGGATGCAAGCAATCTGCCTCCTCAGGTTCCATTTCTCTGCAGCCCAGATTGTTAAGGGAATGTTCCCAGCTGAGTTACTGAGTTATTTCACAAGAAAGTGCTGTTTTCGGAAATGGGTGTTTTCTTTTTTCCTAATGATTTCTCACCTTTGTCATCCTTGGCTTGCTTTGAAGGATAGAATTCCAGCTAGACACAAATATCCTGCAACCACACGTCTCCTCAGGTTGTGCCTCTGTAGCAGCAATTAACCTTTGCTATTTGCCAGCTTTATATTCCAATTATCTGTAGCCATCTGCAGTTTTAGCTGTTAAGGGTCAGGAAGGACTTGTTAATCTCCTCCTGAAAGTATAGAAGGTTGCTCAGTCCTTTTTTTGGTAACGTATTTCCTTTGAGTGAGTGATGAGGATAAGGGGGTACCTTGGCGACTGAGAGCCAAGAAAAGCTGCAGGAACTTCAAAGCCAAGTGCCTGCGTTCCCTAGAAACAGAATCCACGGAATGGTGGGCTCTGAAGGAGATGCAGCTGAGTAAACTGATGTTGATATCATCTTTCTCTTCAGCCTTATGAAAGACTACTTCTTTAAACCGCCTATCAACAAGCTGAGCCTCAACTTCTTGGATCAGGACTTGGAGATGGCCTACAGGACGAGCTATCAGGAAGAGGTGTGTTTCTCCTGGCATTGGTTTCCTTCTGTAATCTGCCTGAGCAACTGTCTGTCGTTGTTTTTAACACATTTCATTGCAGTCGCTGACAAGGGTCATGGCATGTCAGATGTGATTTACTACTCAGTGTTGCTGCCTCTGAAAACAGCCTCCTTTCAGTTTGCCTGTCTTGTGCCATGCCCTGAGTAGTCCAACGTTTGGGCTGGAAATATATTTGCACCATCCACCGAGATATCCTAATTAATTCTCCATTTTCTGGTTAATGTTTTAAGGCCTTAGGCATGCCAGAGAACCATGCTAAGGTGAAAGTAAAGCACTGAATGCTACTTCCCTTCTCAACCTAACTTTGAGAACGGTGACTCTGAATTTGGTTCTTACCCCTGTCACAGCCTCACCGTTATCCCTGTAACCCAAACCTGCTCTGAACTCCAGTGTCACAAGTTCCGTAAGCGTGCTGCATTCGGAGGCAGTTAGAACACTGTGTAACTGTAAGGAACAGGGAGTAAATTGTGAGGAACTTGGTGCTTTCTTGAGGGTTCTGGACCAAGTGTAAGAAGTCCTTAATCCCCTTGGGGGCTTTTTGCAGGCTGTCCCTGTCAGCAGATGTTCCTGCCTGTTGATATTCGAACTAGCAAGGTGCTTTAAGTTTACACGTAGCAGCATTAGGTGTCAGTGCTGACTGCGGCTGCGTTGCCGCGCGTGGCTGAAGAGTTGCAGCCGGAAGAGGGCAATTGCTCTCCCCAGCTTGTTCCTACTCCCTGCTCCTTCTAACAGTGCTGTCAGGCTTCCCTGCTGGGAGCCAGTTCCTAGCCTAGCATAAAACAGTCCTGGTTTGGTTTTCTGTTTCGGCTTTTTCTTTTCCCGTCTGGGTCTGTTTTCTCCTGTATTGAACCAGCAGCTCACAGAGAGGTTGGCAAGTGCTGGAGCCCACTGCAAGGTAAGTGTCCAGCAGCCAGAATGGGCCCTTCCCTTCCAGTAGCGTTGAGCATTAGTTTGGGTCAGAATTGCATCGTGATAAATAGGTGTTGATTTCTTTTCTTCCCCATATCTCCTACATCTTGAGGGCAGGTAGGATTTCTCCTGCCACTGCTTGTTGCTTTCTGCTCATGGGCTGCTTTTGTTCTGGGCAGCATTGTAACCTTGTCCTTAGCAATAGCCTGTTTGCTTGTTTTCCAGTGTTGACATGAGACCTACCTTACTTCTTTTTAACAAAGGGAAGCATGGTTGTGTTGCAGTTCTGTTTGTTTGGGAGCTCCATACTCGTCTGCAGCGCTGGATTCTGGTGCTATCTCCCTGAATAAAGCTCACGTAGCAACAACAGGGAGAAACTTCCCGTGGCATACAGCCTGCAAAATTTGCACAAACTATACAGTGAATAGTAAACAAGTTCTTTCCAGTGGAAAGATTGGAAGCGAAGCAGTGATAGTCGAGCATATACAGATTGACCTATTAATGTGGATATGTAGGAAATTCAGAGAAGGAGCAGAAAAATTTTGTTAGTGGCAAGCTGTTAATGGGAAAATGATGATGTAAACCTCCCTGGAAATGAGAATCTTCACTCTCTGACAGTAACTCTGCATCACTGGGGCAAAAACCTTTGCAAGCCTTAATATTATCACAGCACTCGTCCAAAACAACACCGCCAACAACAGATCATCTCTGGAGAGTGAAATGATTTGTCAGTGCTGCTGGTTCTTTAATTCCCTGGCAGTAAACTGTTGCTGAAAGTCACTTCCAACACCGCTGAGCTTACCTCTGACTACACAGTGCCAGCTGCACGCTCTGTTTGTGATCGCTCTCTGTACACCACAACACTTCCCAAGAGCTCGCTTAGCCTGTTCTTGTTTGGCAGCTCACACTGCTGGGGCATCCTTAGCGCTGTCAGTTCAGGGTACAGTGCTGCTTTCCTTCATCCAGTTTATGGGACTTTCTGTGTGGACTAACAGGATTCTGCTGCAGTTCAGATAAGAGATAATTTTGGCCCTGAAATGATGTTATCTGAGTTTATTAGGTCATGGGGAGGTACAAACGAGGAGCAAGTTCATTTCCCAATATTGCTGAGTGCAGACAGTGTTCTGAGGAGGAAAGGAAATTCCCAAATTAAACCAGAGTACCCAAACAGGGCTATTTCACGGTGATACCGGTAACATGCTTCTTGTTTTCCTTTGGAACTTGCTGTCTGCGGTCCCTTGGGCAGATACAAACACTCGTAAGACGCCGAGTAAGCCTGGATGTGGAGCTCATGATGTCGTTTTCAGCTGGACTGTCCAAAGTAGCACACAGCTGCACAAGCACTGGGGCCAGAACAAGACGGGATGGGAATGTGCGGTGAGGGGTTACGGAAGAGCAGAACTTGGGCTCTGATCAGTTCAGATTACATACCGTCCCAATTGCTGCTTTTAATCTGGTCTGAAAGGGAGACGTGAACTCTGCCACAGGCAAGTGACTGTTTCTGTAGAGTGGTGTTTGGAGGGTTTTCTTACAGAACCATCAGAGCTAAAAGGCTTACTGTAAAATCTGTGGTTATTTTAAATGAAAACCCTTGAAGAAAACTGCTTGTAGCTTTATCTGCTAGTAATTATGGTTTTAGAATAGGCAATTTTCACATGGTTTGTTTCTGTATCATCATATTCTGTAAAAGTCACCCAAGACCCAGGGGCTGTGCTGCCAGTGCTTTTTTTCAACCCAGACATGCTCTCAGGGAGCTGTGATAGCCTTTGAACTGCCTCTTTTGTTTCTTGTTTCAAAACCATGCTTATGGTGGATTAATGAAGTGGCAGAAAGTTCTGTATTTCTTTGCTTGTTTTTGTGAGCTGCTGTTAATGATACAGTTGAATTCAGCAAAATAGCATTTATTTATTTTCATCCCTTCCCTCCATCCCTGTATTCTACACAGGTCATAAGGAATGCTCCAGTGAAGACGTTTGCCAGCGCTACCTTCAGCTCGCTCCTGGACGTGTTCCTCTCCACCACAGTCTTCCTCATACTCTCTATCACGTGTTTCCTGAAACACGGGATGGTCGCGTCCCCCCCGCCACCGGCAGCCGTCGTGGTGTTCATCATCGCCATCCTGCTAGAGGTGCTCTCCCTTGTCGTCTCAATTAGGTAAATAAAGCGTAAGAAAGTCTCGAAACAGCAGTGAGAGCTAAAGCGATGGCTGGCTCGGGGGCGTTTGGTTTGCCAGCATCCCTGGAACTCACTGGGTCTGTAATAGTTGGAGAACCGTGGCAGTGAAGCCAGGAAGGCTTGTGGCAGACCTTGTGCAAAGGGAGATCTGGCTACAGAAACTGGAGGAGAGAAAGGGGGCTCTGACAGGAGGTGTTCTTCAGGGAACCGAATCAGCGTGTCGTGCCTGCCCCTTCTTACTGTCCCTTGGGATGCTGCACACAACCGGGTACCTTCTGCCCTCGCAGGGCCATCAGGGTGAGGGAATTCAAAGAGAAAACTTGTAGCTGTCCTTCAAAAAAAGGAAAAAAACCCACCTTTAAATTCCTCGGTAAAAGTACACCATCCTGGTATACCTAAAACCAAAATAATGTATCCGAAATGCAAAGAGCAGTCCTTTTCTCCAATAACCACAAAAACTAAATTGCAGAAGTCACACTGCATCTGCCCAGAATTAGTTTTCTTAATGATCTCTATTCCGAGTCTAATGGGTTTAATACTCAAATAGTTTGTGTTTCCTCTCTTTGACGCATAATTGGAGTTCAGCATTTCCCCCGAGTCCTGGGCTGTGTGACAGTCGGCTGCTGCTCGAGGAGGGAAGGGGCACTCATTTGTCTCTGCAGAAGGGCGGTTTCGCAGGGCTGGTGCCAGCCCCAACTCTGCCTCTGCGCTCCCCGGTCCCTGAATTCTCTCGTGTCCCTGCCAGCCCTGTGCCTCTGCCTCTCCAGTGCCCGTGGAGGTCAGGCTTGGCCGCGGATGCGGACACCTGGTAGG